AGGAGAACGGTCCCTGCCATGGTGGAGACTCAAACCAGGAGACTTCAGTAGAGTTACTTTGGATATCATCACTGAGATTTTTCCCATCTTCCTCTTAACCCTAAAATAATCAACATATTACAGTAGCAGAAGATGAATACGTACATAAACATGTTGGTGTTGTGACCATATTTAAGTTCACTGAAATGTAGTTTAAGTTATATCTTAACTTTACAGTGTTGTCAACCAAATGTGGGAGTCTCTGTTTATGCTCACTGAGGTGCAAATGTAGGATGAAATACTACCTTGGCCACTTTTCAACTTTTTCAGCACAAGTTTAATACAAACATTGACTAAACATAATCAAATTTATATATTTCATACAAAATAATAGTCAAAATTGTCTTAATTTTACCCAAACTTCTATGCCCAGACAGCTGGAGGTAAAGTGCTTATCTGAATGCCTGAAAAAGTTTTTGTTGTTCCCTGATATCTTCATCTGGAGCTTAACTGAGAGAACAGTGAAGTCAAGATTATCTGACTGTCCATTCTGCTCTGTGAGACAGTGTTGGAGCTGTTCAGCCGTCCTTTAACTGATAAAACCAGGAGACGCTGCAGGCTTTGGGTCGTCTGGATGGAGTCTGACTGCCTGCATATCTCTCCGGTCCAATCCACTATCAGGTTTGGTGGTGCCTCTCAGAAATCACTTGCACAGACCCATGCACAACATGTGCACACACTTTGACACATTGATGCAAATCTTCACCCATGGGAGACAGAGGCTCGGTCACACTTTGATGCTGACAAACCCTGTGGAAACTTTATTTAAAGCGGATCTGTGTTTATATTTACTCGGGACTGCACTGTAAAATGTTACATATGCTTGAATATTCAAACCTTCTCGTCACAGTCAAGCATGTGCGTGTTTATGCTTCAGCTTTGATCTACAGACACTTTCACATGGTCAAAGAAAGGCAGGATTCCTGGGAGTGTCTGGCCACAGTTTGATCTTTCTCTCAGATCAATGTCAGTAGATTGCAGAGGAGCCGTGAGGCTCACATCTCCACTCAATACCAAGACCAGACCAAGTGGCTGTGTGTTGGTGTGTATGTGTGTGTGTGTGTGAGAGAGAGAGAGAAAGGGAGTTACAGAAAGAAGCAGAACAAAAAAATTAATTTGCAAGACAGTAGAGCTGGGTGATATGACTAAAAATGGTACTGTGATGAATTTTTTCACATTAGTTGATATTGATAATTATCAAAATATATGTCAAACCATTATCAGTCAAACTTATCAATACCGTTTAATTTACAGCTAATGATCATTATCCAAACTCCAACTGTGCACTTGACTGGAAGTAAAAAAAAAAATTGTTATTCCAAAGTGGAGGAGGAGCTGCTGGAAGTGCAACACAAACATCCTGGTCTATTATGTTTAGAAGCTCCACCAGCTGATAAAAACAGACACACTCAATAATACCACTGATTCAGAGTCAGCTGTAATCAGGAAAGATGCTTGGATGAAGTGAATATAAAAGACTCATCTTGAATCTGAGGAGACACTTTGAGATGAGGAAATTTATCTCATTTGTTTAATTATCAAGTGTTTTTCAGTATTTCTGAAGTGGAGTTGTATGAATTACACATAATTAGTAAGTGTATCAGCTGGTGGATGATGCTTTATTTGTCCCATAGAATGGACACCGTGTGCCTCTTCATTGGGTGAGGCCACCGCGAGAACAGCACCCTCTGGTGATGGGCTGCAGTATAGGTCATAAATCCCACCTCCTCCAGCAATTCCTACGGAGCTGTCGACAAACTGGTTGGACTGGTTTGTGCTCAAGTCCTCTTTTTTCTGTACAGCTCAATTTTTAAAAGTAATTAGGGGGTTCATGTTTTCTATGATTGACTGTTGATACAGCCTGTGGGCATACAAAGATTGCGATGATTGCGATCCCAGAAAAACCAAGAGCAATTCGGCTTCAAAATTGTATAATGACGGAAGGCGGATCCAAGTTGTCCATAGTATAAACAGTCTATGGTTTGTCCTCTCACTCCAAGCTAGGCTACAGTTTTCTGCAGGAAGGATTAAGTCTGCCATGTAATGCAGCAGATTTTGAGAAATTCTGACCAAAGCACTGCTAAGGATAATTTTTATCTCTTCACTTTGCCACCAGAAGGTCCATTTGTTTTTAAATATTTATCCCAAGTATGACTCCAAACATTAGGAAAAAAATCATAAGCTTCATGATTTTTGACACGGTGGAATAAACAAAGTATCCAGAGCCAGAAATGTGAGAGATTACAGCAAAGATTCATGAATATAGATGTTAATTATCAATGGTAGCTGCAGTGAGAAAACCTGCTCAGTGCCAGAGTTGACACTACATTACAAGGATTGTAAATAAACAGGTAAACAGTCAAGTGCAGATCTAAATCCGCACACACGATGCCAGAAATGTAAAGAGATTAACCTCCCCTGCAACTCGTGTATCTGCTGTCAGATACACGGGTTTGCAAATCCCACGAACTGCACGTTTTTCTACAGTAGAAACCATCTCAGATTTTTGCACTTTCACTTTGATAACAGGCAGTAAGGCTTATGAAACCAGACTTAGCGTTTGTTTCAGAGCAGCATGGTGTAAAGAGAAATGTTTCCTCTGTGTGGTCTTCTTCTGCTGGCTCCTCATTCGAGTACAGTGAAGATGCACAAAGGATTGAATGAAATTCTGAAAAACTCTCCAGGATATGTGTTGATCCCCCGACTCTTTCTAAACGTGAGCATACTTTCAAATCCTTCAGGCTTTTCCCAGCCATGGATTTTCCCACAGCTTTCTGGGAAACTGTGTTCTGAGGAAGCTTTTTAAGCTCTGCTGATCAAGCCTGCCAAGGGACAGCCATCAATCCATCTGAACCAACCTATTATTCATTACAGCATCCACGGCCAGAGGGATTTTACTTTTCTATTAAACCAGCAGACCAGTCGGGGGAAACTTGACCCTCTAGGAGCCTCACTCATCCTCTGTTTGACACACACACATACAGCTGTCAGCCGGGCCTCCCTTTGCACTGCAGCGCACAGGCTAGCTGCTGCTTGTAAATGAAATGAAACTTAACCAAGTGTTGGCCCCTCATCAATCTGGCCGTGCTGGCCTGGATGCTCCCTCCTGATTCATGAACAGACACCTTTACAATCCCTCTATAGCTGCCTCACTCTATGACTGAGGACTATCAATCTCAAACACATGTTCACACTCAGAGTGAGGCGGGTAAATAGCTGCCTTTCATGTTTTTACGCGCCTGCGTGTGCACGGAAAGCTGCTTGCTATTTGAATCCCATTCTCACCCCCCATCTGGTCAAATATTGTCATTGTAAACTTTATTATGACGTGAACATTTCTGAAGAACTGCTCATGTGAGGGGCCTGAAGCCTAATATTCCGATTAGAATTGGGGTAGAAGCCCAAACCAAATAAAAACGCTCCATATAAACACCTCAATCAGAATAAACAGGCCGAAATTGAATGAAATTTCATTTGGTTGCACAGGGGTACAATATTCCTTCTCCCAAACTGACCTAAAGGAAAGTGTTGTCATGTAAACGGTGAAACGGAAAGTTGTCAGGCTGCGTTCTGTCTGCTCATGCTCCATCATAACGTAAGTGCACAGTGGCGTTTCTTCACTTGAAAATATGGCGGCTTCCAAACAGAGGACACAGAACTGGTCTGTGGTGGAGAGATTGTTTTAATACGAACTCTCGAAGAACTTAACATTATTGTATGCATAGACAGTAGGAAAACAAGAAATATTGAACTATTTGAGGGAAGTCCACGAAAAAATTAGCTAAACCGAGACAGATGGGCAAACATCTCAAAGCAACTAACAAAAAGACCCTCTTCTGTACGCCTTCTCCTCTTCAGCGCTTCCAGAAAGAGCACATTAGAATCAAGCTTTTGCTTTAATGAAAGTGCAAAAACAATCACAAATAGACGGTAGACCTCCATCTTTGATAAATCGTGATGTTTTCATAGACCTACGCATGTCATGTTTGTAAAACAGCTGTTCATGTCAACACCCGATCTGAATAGATCACGTCTCATTTAAACATACTTAATACTTTCTCATGATCGTCTCCTGCTCCTCGTTTGTAAAGTATGCAGTCCTTCGCTCTCCAGCCTGCTCTGAAGCTCCAGACTGGCCCATGTTTGCGATTGGTCAGATGCGGCGGGCTCCGCCTTACATGCGTGCACGCGCTCATAGCAAAGCTGGATCCACTTACGAGGTTGATAACCAGCGTCGTATGACCCTTTTAGCGAGACCACTGGCTACCGCGCTAAGTTGAGCGAGGTAGCTCCAAGGCAACCTCGCTAGGTCGAACCTGCTTCGTAGAACAGGCCCCTGGTTCTTATATAAGCGGATCACCTTATTTACCTTTTTCTTCTCACCCACATAAGAGGAAGTTTTTTTTCTGCTGTTTTTGATAAGGAAACTCGACAGCCTGAAAGCCTTCTGTTTTTTATCGTGGATTAGTTCCCTAAACGCGACACATGACAAGGCAGACCAGTATATATAAGGAGATCATATTTGTTTTCCACAAGTATTTAAGAGAGAGGAACTCTTCTTGTATTGGGACAAAACTTTGTCAACTCCGCAGCACTGAGATGTAATGATGTGGCTCTGCTCTCAGAAGGTTCACAGTTTGAACCAGCACTCACACCAGAGTGGATAACAACTAGACACAGATAGGTTACCAATAGGGTACTTGGACGTGTTTGGAAGGACATAAGAAGGCATTTTATTCTGTTGCATATATGCTAGAAAAAAGTGCATCTAGAGGTTTTTTGTCATGTTTGTTTGCTAGTAAGGAACCCTGAGAGCACTAGGATTTGGTTTATCCGTTGGATATGGCATCCAGAGAGCACTTAACAACTGAGAACTGACAGGGTACCGGTACCTAAACTGTCATATCCTAAAGAGCGGGACCACTTATCTGCTGCGTTTGACAAGTTGCAGTAAGAAAGTGTTGCAATTAGCAGTTTGGGTTTTGTAGGTAATTAGAAGTTAGGGTTTGAATGTACATGTCAAGGTATCTCCTCTAATGGTTGTGTCTTTTGGTATTCTTAAGTTTTGGCTGTTTACATTTACCTCAGATCTGCCATTTCTATAAATAAACCAATAAATAAGTATTATTTTCATTCCTCACTAATGAGCAGAAGCAAGCGCCACATAGCACAGAAGCAAAAGATAATTATAAACTGAAGCTTCCTCACACTTCTGACAAATGTGCTGTTGCAGGTAGTTTTTCTCCAGAATGATTTATAACTCCATGTGAGTCTGTGTGAGAGTGTGCAGATGGCACAGTGAAAGGAGGATTTGTTTGGATAGAGCGACTGATTATGATGTTTCTCTAATAAGGTTTGGAAGTTTTGTTGTTGTCACAGACTATTTTGCACACAAATGGTTCTGCTCTATTGCATACACTCTGCATGACAGCACAGAAGTCTCCCATTAGCTGGTTCCAAATATACAGCCAGTGTCTTCATATCAGGCAGATGACATTTGTAAAGCAACGAGCCAGTGTCAGCTGCAGCGGGGTTTTAATCCAAAACTTTCTGGATGGAAAGTTGCTCTAAATTGTAGTCTACCATTTTCTCTGCCCTGACAAAAGACATAAATTTGCAATTTTGGAGATGTGTTACCAGGTTTTTTCACACACAACTAGTTTCAGATAACCCTGGATGTCAACCCTTGGATTAATTGATATTGAAAAACTACATTTGCACAGTGAGTGAGGCCTAAATAGCTGATTTTGGATTTCTGATGCATGATCACACCAAGCTTAAAACTGTGTATAGTCAGGAAACATCAGTGGAGTCCATTAAAATAAAGTTTCTGATGCTGGTTTTGTATTTTTTTATTAGGCAGGGTAAACAAAGGAAAAGGACCCAAAATCCAGACAAAAAAAGGATCTATTAAAAACAAATAAATGAAAAGCAACAAAAACCTACTTCAAAAATGTCCAACTAAAACATACCAAAGGCAAAATCCAAAACAAAAAAAACAAAGCAGTGGGAAAAAAACACAACGAAACTTGCGATTCCCACTCAGGGTGTCCAGATGTTAAATTGATATTGGATATTGGTCCGGTTTTTGCAAAAAAACGAATATCAGATCATATTGGCCTGCGTCTAAAATCTCTGATATCAGCACGCCAATACAGGCAGTCCATTCCAGCCTCTGCTCCAGCCCTTCTATCTAGCAGCACCCAAATCCAGCATGCAGAGCCCAGGTTATCACAACAACAGTGTGTACTAAGGTACTAACAAAGTACCAAGGAGTAAAAGTGATGTCAGACGTGTGGAAGTATTTTCTGTTTAAGTCCAAAAAAGACGTTGCAGCTGAATGCAAAACTTGTCATACACAATTTTATGCCAATATCGCATCAATAACGGTATCGTTCAATATTAAAGGCTACAAAATCGGTATTGTATCGGAAGTAAAATAGTTGTATAAGGACACCCCTAATTCACACATCAACTATGACTGAAACACACTGACCAACAAACACGCACAATCAGCCAACAAAGAAACAGGGGAAGACAGGGACTATATATACACCCAAGGAAGTGAGTAACGAGAGGCAGGTGAGACACTGAGACACAGGTGAAGACAATTACAGAGGAGGGAAAACTGAGGAAGTAAAACAAGACTATACACACAAGGATGGACTACTATACAAAATAAAACAGGAAACACTGAAAACTGATCTAAAGAATAAAACACTGAGAACTGACACTGTGGACTGAACCAAGGTTTTAAGATGTGATAATGAAATGTTTAAAACAAAAGACCCAGACAGTCTTCTGCCTTTAACTGACATGGTCCTGGGTTCAAATCTGTCAGGATCAGGGTCTTTCAAATGGAGCCAAAATGAAATGTTTTCCTTACACTGTAGACGGAGCAAAGTGGCACAGTGATGTAGTGGTTAGCACTGTCGCCTCACAGCAAGAAGGTCTTGGGTTTGAATCCGGGTCAGGGCGTTTCTGTGTGGAGTTTGCATGTTCTCCTTGTGTCTGCGTGGGTTTACTCCAGGTACTCTGGTTTCCTCCCACATCCCAAAAACATGCCTAAGTGAGGTTAGGTTAATTGGCCACTTTCAAATTGCCCATATGTGTGAGTGTGAGCGTGGATGGTTGTTCGCCTCTATTTGTCAGCCCTGCGATAAACTGGTGACTTGTCCAGGATGTCCTCTGCCTTCGCCCGAAGATACTGGGACAGGCCGCAGTCCCCTTGCAACCCCTAACGGGAATAAGCTGTAGAAAATGGATGGATGGATGTAGACTGAGCTTAGTCTTTTAGGAGCTGTCCAAATATGATTAAACAAGAAATACCTAAACAGTCTGGCACAAGCAGGCAGGCCTGTGGTGTGAGGGTTTGAGCTGCTGCATCGAATGTAGTGATCATGGGTTCAAATCCAATACAGGGAAAGTATAAGGGACAGTGCAAGGTGGAGGCAGGGAACTGAAAGGAAGAGGCCAGGGGAAAGAGAAGGAGGAGGAGGCAGGGGAGTACAAGATGAGAAGAGAAGAGAAGAGAAGAAAAGATAATGTAAAAAAAGGAACAGCTCCACATGAGAGGGTACTTTCAGGGAGGGATTGTCAGTGTGGCCTTGGTGTAACAGCTGAATTTTCAATGCACATGGTTGCGAAAACAATCATCTGTATCTGATGGGGCAGGAAAGCCTGTGAATGGATAAGAAATGGCAGTACACTCAGGATTTCTTCAGAATGGAGACACAAAGTTTTTCATATGCCCTGAATAATGTGTGTAATTGTGTAATTGTGTTTGTGTGTGTGTGTGAGTGAGTGAGTGTGCCTGTGTCCCACAGGGTGTCTTGACAGCTCCATTTCCCAGACATGTTGTTAGGATGCAAGCAGACATTAGCATAAACATGCTGCATTTCCCATGAACAGCGTCGTCAGGACCTGTCACTGCAGCACTGCTGACAACACAGCACAAATCATTGACCCCCTGACTAACCCTCTGTCACTCCTCTGGACACCACAGGACAGAGGAGGAGGAGGAGGAGGAGGAGGAGGAGGAGGAGAGGAGCGGATGCATAAAAAAAGGTGTGTAAGGGGAAACAGGAAAAATGTGACCAAGAAAACTTTGATATGAGGAAAACGAGAAAAGGGACTGAGGTGAGAGGAAGGGAGGAGAAGATAAGAGAAGATTAGAGAAATAACAAAAAAGAGATGGGAATGGAGGAGAGAAAACAGAGAGAGGAGAGGAATGCAGAAGGGGAGCGGTGATTGAGAGTGGAGGAGAGGAGAGGATTAGGTGTGTGTCATCGTGGAGTGATCACACATAGCCCTCATCCATCACAGACCCAACAGGAGGGAAGCCCTGCTGTCTGATTGTCCACTCCACTGCCAGTGATCCAGAGACACGAGGACACAAGGCTGAGAGTGAAGCAAAGGAGACGAAACTGGACTAAAAGACTGAAAAGTACCTAAAAAAGATCAGCAAAAAAACAAAATCATACCGGCAGAAAAAGCCTTTTATTCACGGATGAAACTCCAACTTGAGACGCTTTAGCAGTGTGAAATATTAGTCCTTACAGACCCCTAGATATACATGATGAACTCGGTTTGCAGTTTTCCCAAAATGAAGCTCAAACTCTCAATATTGGTACAAAGAAATTTGTGAATGTGCTGGGGGATTATCTCTGTGTGAGACAGTCTGGTCTATATGTCTAGGCCCGTTAGAATCAATGGCGCCATCTACACTCTCAAAACTGCACACACAGCTCCTCCTCTTTCTTCTCCTCCTCCTCCTCCTCCTCCCCGGTAATGGGCCAACAGGACTGGAGGCTGAAGTGCAGGGCATAAGAGTGAAGTGGTCCCAGAGCAATGTTGCTGACCTGGTACTTTGTGTCTATATTTTAGGCACTAAGGTCACAGGATAGTCTACTAGTATATATTTATAGAAAAAAAACGTCGTTGTGGGTTTTATTGACTAATGAGACAAAAATCTGACTGTAAATTAAAGTTCAAGAATCACGTTTTGAAAAAGGAATGTTAAAGGCTCAAGTATTTGTTTATATGCTATAATGTAGGTGTGTGTTTTTATGTGTGTGTGTGTGTATGTGTGTGTGTGTGTTTTTATGTTTGTGTGTGTCTGCTGGAGTGGATGTAGATGAGTTTTCTCAGCGCTGTAGGGGAATGGGCTGCGGTTGGCTGGCCTGACTGCAGACCGCTCTGTAGAAAAGAATGACTTTTTAAATTACCCATACATCACTGTCAGCGCAGCACAGACTAGGGCGACAGTGCTGCAGTCGCATGCACGTACACACACACAGACACACACGTACACACACACACACACACACACACACTTTCTGCCTCTCTCTCTCTCTCTCTCTGCTCCCCGCTCACTCCACAAACTCAATCCCATGTTTACAGACATGCAAACACAGCTCTGCAATGCCAACCTGAACACATTGTTGTACGGAGGCCCTGAGAGCAGAGCACACATGGAAACAGAGGACAGAGGAGAGTGATGTGCTGTGTGGTTGTGTTGTTGTATTCAAGCATATTCTGAAAGTGGTTCTGTTTCAGACCTTCACTTTTTGGGGGTTTAGGTTCCAGACGTGCTCAGACTGGGTCTCTACTATAGTGACGTTACACAATATGATTGGCTGCAGGTCAGGAAGATTGATGGTTATTTTATGAATGTAGTTTTTTTTATTTTTGGATGTCTGTTTAAAGATCTTAGCTGATAAATAAAATGTAAAAAGTCATTAACACATACTTGTATAATTTTGTTGGAAAGTGCATTGACTTAAGAACAGTAAAGTATGGTGAACAACCCTAACCCTAAAAATTTTGGTTTGAAGAAAGGCAGGACAGGTGTGGGGAATTTGAGAGTGGGAAAAGACGTGCAGCAAATGGTTGTGGCTTGGATCTTCGTGGGACAAAGGACTATACCTCTGTACATGGAGCGCTTAGACTGAGAGGCCATCAGCACCCCTAACCTTTTTTGCAGGTTGTCAGCTTTGTTTTGACTGGACTACTGTCTTTGTCCCAATTCATAAATAATTGACAGATGCATGTCTGCCTTCATAATGGTAGGTGGCACCACGCCTCCTTTCAGCACATTACTTCTGAGTTGTCTCCTGGTTGATCTATTATAAATCGGATAAATTGACAAAATGCATTAGCAAGAGGTTAATGGGATGGCGAACATCACTTAAACTTTTACAGCTCTGAGGCGTTTGTTTGAACAACAGAAAGGTTGATATTTTTGTACATCCTTTTTTCATCTGTTGAGGTTTTGTTTACTTCCCAGTTTCTTTGCATCACATCCAAGCCGTTTAACTTCTGACATAAAGCCCAGCATGTAAACACCGGGGTGTGTACAGAACGCTTAGGCCAGCTTCTGTTGCACTGTGTCCCCCACCCCATTATCCACGTATGTTGATCAGGCTATGAGAAGTTTGATTTAGTGCTACTCAAGTCTGACTCATGTTTTTACCTGTTTTTCAAAAATCCAGATTCAGTCGGACTAATGCAATTAACTTTTTTTTCTTTTAACAACATGTAAATGTACTGATGGATTGGGTACCTACATCTGCTGTCGCTACTCCACTTGGAAAACTACACAAAATGAGAAAACTATATCCATCAAACTTCAGATGTACAGCCAGTCACATTGCATGGCATTGCTAGTCAAGTAGATTTGCTCACCCCCGCACATGTTGATGAACTTGATTCCTTAAATACTGAAAGTACGGAAAATGTTGGTCATGTTTTGTCTGTATTTGGTCCTGATTCACAGTCATGCTTATATTTGTAAAATTTAGTTGTGTTGTGAGAGTCTATTCTTGTGATGTGATATTATCATCCTTTTGTCGTTGTTGTATTTCATTTCATCATTACATCCTTGTCTTTAATTATTTTTCTGTCTCTGTCTTTCATCGCACCATGAAGCCATGCTTTAGGTCGCCTCAACGAACAAAAATGCAGGAGAAGCAGATTGAATTCTATCAAATGTATAATTCATCTAAACATGTAAAAGGATGAAAGACACTGTATGAGCCTGACATACATGAGCACAATCATGCTTAAGTCATAAGAGTACGACTCCAGGACCAGGAGGTGTTAGAGTCTCCCCTTCATCTCTTCCTCTTCCTCATCTTCATCCAATAAACTGGATTTTAACTGCAGGTAATTAAACTGCTCATGGCTTCCAGGGCAGGAGAAGTGCTTACACCGTCATTCCTGGCCGTGTTGGATACCGCAACAGTGGTCTCTTGATTTTCTCTGAACCTGTTTATAGTTTAAAAGAAACACAGTTAACGAATACTTCTGCATAAATCAGTCAAATCAAAAGTACATTTGGGTTCAAATAAATGAACATCATGTTGGTTAAATGGGTATTATTCTGGCACTGTGTGTTTAGCGGTCAACCTGCTGTCATAGTTTGGTGTACAAGTTGAAGAAAGGACCAAAGAGACAGATGGATAGGAGCTCTGCAGCCCGACCACAACACCTGTGTCCATCCTGGTTCCGATCCTGGCTAACAAGTCATCCGTCTGGGCACTGGAAGCACCCATAATCCAGGAGTGGTTCCTTCAGAGAGTAACGGACCCAGCCGATCTGTGTGTGCTTCTGAAGGATGACTGATTATCACACCCCAAACTCTCAGGTACACAGATGCAACTCAGGTAAAAAAAAAAAAAGGCAGAATGAAAGGTAGTGACATTTTTTCATTAGGTAGAATGATAACGTGGTGATATTCATGCTACCGTGCAATGAGAACAGCTCTTCTCCAGAGTTTAACTTACATTCAGTCTACTCTGTACACACCAAAAAAACAAGCTAATAATAATCTAAACTGATATACCGGCTACAAGACTGAGCGTTTTGGACACCTAAGAAGGAAGCAAACTGCTGTGTTTTCTCAGGTAATTTATAATGATTTATGATATGATATAATATGACCTATTATAGGGTGACCATACGTCCTCTTTTACCCAGACATGTCCTCTTTTTGGGGGGCTGCCTGGCCTTCTGGGGTAGGTTATAAAATCCTTCAAATGTCCAGGGTTTTGACATGGAAGTTTCAAGTTTGTGTCACGTAGACTTACTGAGTTAGAAGTGCGTAAAGACACTCGATCCAACCTGAAAAACTCTGTGACTCTGCCCCCATGTAGACGTTTCCTCTTTTTGGGGATTCAGAATATGGCAACCCTATTAACTCCTAGATTTAAATGTACAAACTCTGAATTTTTTTGTGGGATCGACTAAAAAGAGACTAAAATGAAAATAAAGTTCCTCTGACTTAATCTTGACAAAGTTTCTGAAAATAAATGAAAGTGAAACCAAATTTAAAATTCCTGTTAAAATGAACACAGCAATAGGAGATATTCACTGTGTTCCCCATACAGGCCCTGAACAGTCATGCCATGTGTGTCTGCTGTAGAAACTAAGACTTCACTCAGATAAAGATTAGCAGGGCTACACATGGTCAGCCTTGAGATGGCTTTGTTATCTCTCTGGTTCTTCTTCACACTCAGTTTGAAACTAAAAGTCTTGCTCTGTAACGTTCAAATACACACATCCACATCCACTGCTCATAGATCAGCCTGAGCACACACCTGAGAGATTGATATAACTGATGTCCAGCAGAGGGCGACAGAGGCCTGGTGAATTAAAGGGGCGCAAACCAGCACTGCAGAGAAAGCACAGGACATGACGCTGAACGGTCGTGTGATAACTTGGGGGTTTGGTTTGCACACAACAGCGAGGCAGTCTTTGGAAAGGGCTCTCCACAGAATAACCACATGTAGCTTTTGAGGAAGCAGGGAAACAAGTTAATGTTGAAATGAGAATCAAAGATATTACACTTTATGTAGCGCAGAGCATTAGTTAAAAATGTACTTTTTAAAGCTCTTGTTGTCCAGTATCAAACCTTCCTGCTTTTGTTTTCAGATGTCTCCATCTTCGGGGGAAGAAAATAGCCGTGACTTTCCATTACAACCACAAGCCACTCAATCATCAGAGAGCAGAGAGGAGGAAAAAGTCAAGCAGTGAAACAGATTTTCCAACATACAGGTTTGGTGTGTCTTTGTTGGAACGGCCAGGTGGGCTCATCCTTTTGTAGTGTCCAAGACAGAAACCTGACGGCAGATTTAGGCCATGTCTTAAAAAGAGCCATTATGCCATCATTCATTCAGCTAATTGTCAGAATCTTTGCTTATGGTATAATAACATCCAATGTAGGGCTAGACAATAAACCGAAAATTTACTGATGCTGAAATTTACGACAATAACTGACGTCATTTTGCTCATATAAATATATTCGGTGTCAAAAAATAAGTAAATAAAAGTTGGTTTTGGATGTTTGTAGGTAGGCTGTGGTCTCATGTCCCTTTAAGACGCTGTCCTACGTCGGAGACATGACTCCACCTCATCCAGTCTGTAACAAAGAGGTAAAGACGGGTGAGGAGATGGAGGACGGTTCAAAAGTTGTAGTGGCTGGAGCGGCGGCTGAAGTAGATGAAGTTAATGTGGGAGGGGGTGAGCATTTTATGGAGTAGTTATCGTCCATTTATCGTTATTGAGGTGAACTGCTCAATATAATGTGATATTGATTTGAGGCCATATTGCCCAAC